ATTCCATCCCTGTGAGCTCAGTGTAGGTTAAGGAAAGCTGCCTGTGCCGCGATTTTTTCTTCCAGTGTGATAGAGGAGATTGCAGCCCTGCTCACGCTGACGCTGGACTCCACCTTGACTTTCGGAGTTAGATACGACATGGTCCCTACTATGTGCAGGTGAATAGGGGACCTCAGCAAGCAAATTAGACGACTCTCAGTTCCCCTCTGTGGATTTGTGTTTGCTGCTTCTATTGGCCAGAGTGTGGGCTGGAGGAAGAGGCAGGGAGACTGCCACAGGAGAATGAGTGTGGCTTAGGACTGTCAGGGAGGCTGGGAAGAGAGACTTCCCATCTTGTCTGTCTGAGATCCACAGATACAACTACTTGGCCTCACATTCATTTTAATGTGAATCAGGAAGATCGTTTTAATGTGCTTATTTTATTTTATTTTATTTTATTTTATTTTATTTTATTTTATTTAAGAGAGAGAGAGAGGGCGCAAGTGAGCGAGGGGCAGAGAGAAAAGGGAGTGAGGGAAGCGGAGCTCACCCGAAGCAGGGCTCAGGCTCACTGATGTGGGACTCAAATTCATTGAAGTCAGATACTTAATTGACTAAGCCACCCAGGTGCCCCTCATTGTATTTATTTGAGAAAGAGAGAGAGAGAGAGAGAGAGAGAGAGAGAACCAGCTGGGAAGAGGGGCAGGGGGAAGGAGAGAGAGAATCTTAAGCAGCCTCCGTGCTCAGCGCAGAGCCTTGATGCGGGGCTTGATCCCGTGACCCTGGGATCATGTCCTGAGGTGAAATCAAGAGTTGGATGCTCAACTGACTGAGCCACCCAGGCACCCCTTTAATGTGCTCTTTTAAAAAGGTCACAGAGGGGTGCCTGGGTGGCCCAGTCAGTCGAGCGGCTGACTTTGGCTCAGGCCGTGATCTCACGGTTCGTGAGTTTGAGCCCCACGTCAGGCTCACTGCTGTCAGCACAGAGCCCGCTTCGCACCCTCTGTCCCCCTGTCTCTCTTCCCCTTCCCTGCTCACACTCTCTCTCTCTTCCAAAAATAAATAAACATTAAGAAAAATTTTTTAATCTTTAAAAATGTCACGGAACTATCAATTCATTGAATACTAGAAATACAGTTCAAGATGGATGGCTGACCACATACTTATCTCTTCTGCCTTTCAAAATGTTATTAAATGATAAAAAATGGTATTTTTTTAAATGAAGCCATCAAGAGGGGCACTATCCATGCATAAGAGATTTCAAAAAATTTCTGGGTAACAAAAATAGATGTAGGTGACTAAGGATGTAGCATGAAGAAGTCTAGGTCCCCAGTGAGTGTGAAAGGGGATTATTGAAACAGGTTAACAGGGGTGCCTGGGTGGCTCTGTCGGTTAAGCATCCGACTCCGGCTCAGGTCATGATCTCGCGGTTCGTGAGTTCAAGCCCCACGTCGGGCTCTGTGCTGATGGCTCGGAGCCTGGAGCCTGCTTCGGATTCTGTGTCTCCCTCTCTGTCTGCCCCTCCTGCACTCATGCTCTGTCTCTCTCTCAAAAATAAACATTAAAAAAAATTTTTTTTAAAAGAAACAGGTTAACAGGGAGTAGATTACTCTTAAAGAACCCTAGAGAACCAGGGTCCTGGAAACGCGGATGTGACAAAAGACAGAATGAAACAGCTGAAAATGGGAAGGCTAATGGAACTGCCTATTTCCCATCAGGTCCTCCACTTTGCCACCCCTCTTTCAAATGGACTGTCCGTCAGGGAAGCATCTTTTTAATAGTCAGAAAATTAGAATTAAAAAAAAAAGTGTGCAGCCTGAGAGCAAAAACCTTACATATCATGTCTGACTCCCTCCCAAATCACCCCAAAACAGTTCCCCACTGAACAAACCTTGCCCTTGTACACAGAGCAGGATTGGCTTAGAGAAGATGGTTATGCAAATGCTGGTGCATTCATTTGCATTACCATTAAATAAGAATGGATGGCCAAGGGTGGCCGGATGTTTGAAGACATCCATAAAACCTGTACAGGAAAAGAGAAAGACCAAAATGAAGTAAACCGAAAAATAACCTCAAGGCAACAGATAATTCAGGACAGAAATGAGAGATCTTAAGCAAAGCCGAGCAGACCCTCTCAAATTTATATCTTTTAGAGACATTTGGAAAGATGTTGCTTTCACACTATAAGAATGGGATACTTTGAAAAAGGAGCAATTAAAGAACAAAGAAGGCTTCCCCAAAATAAAAAGATAATCTCCTAGAAATTAGAACCAGAAGACAGATTGAAATAGAGAAAAGATGAGAGATACAGAGGAACAATCTAGGATGTCTAACTTACTTTTAAGGGAAAAAGATGAAGAAAAGAAAATATTTAAAAAATACAGAATTTTCTTCTAAAACCAAAAAGGATATTTGAGTTGCCCAGAATAATAAATGTAAAAAACACACAAACCCAAACACATCCTTGGAAAAAAATGAAAACATAGAGAATAAAGCACTTACAAGCTTCTAGAGAGAAGTCACCTTTGAAAGAACAAGAATCATCCGGTGACTCACACCGGATGATATGGGGGGGCAAATCTTGCCTTCTAAGGGAAGATGATTTTCAGTATAGAATTCTATACTCATCCAAATTATCGACTTAATATGCCATTTTCAGACATTCAAAAATTCAAAAAATTTCCCTTCCTAACCTAAAGGCAGACAGGAAAAGAGAAAGGCAATTAGAAACCCCAGGGGAAGGAGGAGAACACAAAAAGCTGAAGAACATAGAACATTCGTCATGATACATACTACTTAGCTTTGCAGAGAGTAATATTTATATAATTATAATCATGTGAACACTGTTGATTGATTTTGAATTTAGAGTCACTATACAGGTGGTGGGAAGGTGTATGGGTACAGGACAGACCTTTTAACCTTGACAGTGTAAAAGTATAACTCATAATTTGGGGGTGGGAGTAGGGAAGAGAGCTCAGGAAAGGGTGCAAATAGACTTATCTTAAAAAGTATGGACACAGGGGCGCCTGGGTGGCTCAGTCGGTTAAGCGTCCGACTTCAGCCAGGTCACGATCTCGCAGTCCGTCAGTTCGAGCCCCGCGTCGGGCTCTGGGCTGATGGCTCAGAGCCTGGAGCCTGTTTCCGATTCTGTGTCTCCCTCTCTCTCCTCCCCTCCCCCGTTCATGCTCTGTCTCTCTCTGTCCCAAAAATAAATAAACGTTAAAAAAAAAAATTTAAGGGGCGCCTGGGTGGCGCAGTCGGTTAAGCGTCCGACTTCAGCCAGGTCACGATCTCGCGGTCCGTGAGTTCGAGCCCCGCGTCAGGCTCTGGGCTGATGGCTCGGAGCCTGGAGCCTGTTTCCGATTCTGTGTCTCCCTCTCTCTCCGCCCCTCCCCCGTTCATGCTCTGTCTCTCTCTGTCCCAAAAATAAATAAACGTTAAAAAAAAATTTAAAAAAAAAGTATGGACACAAAAGATCATCTTAATTGATGGAACTAAGAAATAGAGGTATAGTGTTTCAAGCTACAAAGGTAACCAGTAGAGAAATGCTGATATAACCATGTTGGCAAGAAAGAGAGATAGCCAGAACCGTACACGTGGGCTAAATTCTCATGTATTAAAGAAATCAATAATGTGTTCAAGGGATGAAATAAGAAATAGCAGATAAGTATAAATATAGAAACTAAAAGATGCAAAAATGGAAAAATTAAATGGATTTAAAATGGTTTCCTCTGAAGAATAGCACAAAGAGAATAGTCAGGAAAGTTGCTTTTCATTACAGCAGTCTGTCGTCTTCCTTTTTAAGTACTTTAAAAAATGGAAACCGAGGAGCGCCTGGGTGGCTCAGTCAGTTAAGCGTCTGACTTCGGCTCGGGTCACGATCTCGCGGTTCGTGGGTTCGAGCCCCTCGTCGGGCTCTGTGCTGACAGGTCGGAGCCTGGAGCCCGCTTCGGATTCTGTGTCTCCCTCTCTCTCTCTGCCCCTCCCCCACTTGCACTCTGTCTCTCTCTCACAAATAAACCTTAAAAATTAAAAAACCTAAGAATAAAAATAATTTTAAAAGGTGGAAACCGAAGGAAAGGAAGGGAGGAAGAGAAGAATGGAGGAGGAAAGAAATGTGGGGAGCCTGCGAGATCATAATGCAATCTGCTTGGAGGTGGACACAGACTTCTAGGACTTGGCACTTATATCTTCTAACTCTAATTTAAGTGTGTGTGTGTGTGTGTGTGTGTGTGTGTGTGTGCGCGCGCGCGCTTAGTGTATAGTAAGGTTCTATTTTTATTTTAGTTTTTGGCTTTTATTTAAGAAAAATTTCAAACTTACAGAGAAGTCTCGAGAATAAAAGTAGTACATCGAGCGCTTGAGTATTCCACACCCGGATTCACCCAGGTCAACATTTCACTCTCTGTGCTTCATCATTTTCCCGTCACTGCCCCCTTGGGTTTTCTCAACCACTGGAGGGTTACATGCAGTAACCTTTAAATACTTTACCTTTACCCCTAAATACTTCAGTGTGTGTTTCATAAGAAGAGGTAGGAATATGCTCTTACATAACCACAGGAAATTGAACACTGATATCAAACTTTAATCTATCAGTAAGATTCAACCTGCGAGTAATACTTTTCCTTCCTTACAGCTACCTCCCTTCAAGATTCTGTTTGGCCCTGGGCCTTTTTCCTTTTCTCCCCCCAACTCCAGCCTTCTGCCATCACCTCATTCTCTCTCCTTGTTTTTGCTCTCTGCTTTGAAGTCTTTTCTTCTATAATTATTTGAATGATTCCTGGAGTTTACAATGCAGACATACACAGACACGCACACACACACACGGAAGTAAAAGCTTTACCAAACCCTGTCTGGCGGGAGAAACCTTTTGTTCCTTTGCCTTTCCAAAAATCACCCGCACTATTGTTTGAGTCTTTGAGCCTCCTTTTGAAAACTGAATTGTATAGCTACGTTTCTGAGGGTTTAACAGCTTTTCTTTTTTCTTTTTTTTTTTTTTCTTTCTCCACTCTGGTTTCTAGTTTGAAAAAGTACCAGAAGGTTTTATCCCTCCATCTACACCCAAGTTTGCATATGGAAAAGTTGCTCTGCAAAAGGTAAGAAAGAAAATAACAGAACTGTTGGGAGTGAGGGGGTGGAATTGAGCAGTTGTGAGTGAAAGTGTCACGCTGGGGAATTGGTTCTATCTTTCTGTGAATTGGTTTTCTTTGAGACTGATGAGGTAGGTGATGTTTCTGGGAAAATGTGCATGTGTCACATTGACGGGGTGAGCACATAGGGCATGAGCAGGAGTGGGTGGACGTTTGTACATCATTCAGGTCATTTTGGTTCAATTACCAGTCATCCAAAGCAGCTTCAGGACCTTTGTGGGAATAACATGCCACCTCGTTGTGCTTGGTGAGGTTCTTTTTCCATAATATACGTTTTTTTTAGGGAGTTCTCCAAAGCCACAGGCATTGTCATAGATCTTTGCACATGTAGTGTGCTTCCCTCCATCTCAAAATCATGTACTGATTTTTGGGCTCTGGTTTATTTGGTAAATGGGACAGCAAGGGGGAAATGGCTAGAAATTAATCATAAAAAGGAGTTGAAGACATTTTATTCTAGGAAAGAGAAAAAGAAGGGAGATTTCATTTCATTGTCGGGAGTGACGTAAGCCAAAATCAATTTGTTTTGACCATCTGTGTCTTCAGGATTTCCCCTTTTATAATCCCTAACTCCTACATCTGTTAACTCACAAGAGAAAAAAAAAAAAAAAAAACACAAGCAGTTACACATTTCTTAAGAATCTTGACATTCTAATATAGTGTAAGTTTTTATCTTTAACCAAAATGCCAAACACGATTGTATAATTTTTCCGTTCGTGAAGCCCTTTGATACTATGATTGGTTGAGCTCCTGTGACATTTTCCACCTAGCGTCAGATACGTGTGTTACATTCTACAAAGAATGTGGTCTCTTTGCGTGATAGGAATCTTTCTTTAGTTTTGATCAGACTTGAATCACACTTGTAAACGGAGTATCTTCCATTTTTCTCCTTGCTGCTGGCTACTTGAGGAGGTTGATTTGTTTTGGAGCTGCGGGAAATGTATTTTTATGCAACAGAAAATAGGTACAAATATTTAATACAGCAACATTGCTTAAACAAAACAAAACAAAACTAGCATAGTACCAAAAATACATTCTATTTGCCATGAAGGAGAATTGTGTGAGTAGAAATAGCTTTTCCTTATGAACTAAATGTTTACAGTTTAAGACAGCAAATTAGCACGCAACTGAATTCAGTTGACGTGGGACATGGTTTATGGAATAAACCGTTTACCGTGAGTGGAATTTCTTTAGTTGTCCACATAGAAGAGCTTCCATGTGAGTAGCTGAACTGATGGAACTGTACTTAAGGTTTTGTTTTCCCTTATGTTACACATCAGCAAGGTATCCCTGCAAAAGTGTCCATAAAATTTCTAACCAGTGTCAGTCGCGGGAAGTCCTAGGTTCAGAGCCAAACCTAACTGCAGACCTTGGCTCTGCCGTTGCTCCTGTGAGGCTCTCTGAGAACCTGTTTCCTCATCCCTGACCTGGGGACGGTGATGGCTGCCCCACCCGGCGGTTGTGAGGATTCACTGGGGTGTGCATGCAAGGGGCGCTCACCTGGGCTTCGGCAGGCACTCAGCGATCGGTAGCTGCCATCATCCTGTTGCTACCTCAGAATAAGCCTCCTGGGTTGTGAGAGTACACGATCGTCTGGACCCAATGTAGTAAGCATTTATTGAGTGTCTACTCTGTGCTGGGTATCGGGTGAGCACCGCACAGACTCTGCCCTTAAGGAGCTGACACAACGGCGAGGACGGCAAAGGTAAGCGGCTGGTACGTGATGCAGGCGTGGAAAATAGGCCACAGTCAAGTTCAGAGGAAGGTGCAGTCCTGGTTACTTCCCTCCGGGATGCTGGGGAAGGCTTTAGAGAGGAGGCAGCCTCCGAGCCTTGGTTTTCATTCATTTGAAGGGCCTTTTGTATAGAGGTTGTATTTGCGAATAGATGTACTTGACACGCTTTACAACCACCGTGAGTTATTTTTCATCGAGAGTTAGGGGATGGATAGCGATGATTGAAGGCAACTGGGGGTCAGCATTGAGCGGAATTTTAACAGTTTAGGTCTGTTTAGGGATTTGGTCCAATCCAGTAATGTCTTTGATAATTTGTGAATGGCATTAGCCTCCACTCTGATGACCAGGTGACAGTGAGTGAATGCTGGTCTTGTTTCTTTTCAGTTAAAGACGGTGGAGGACGCTCTGAACGTTCTGTGTCCTGCTGGGCCCATAAAAAGCCTTTATCCGTTGACGTTTATCCAGGTGAAACAGGTAGGCCTTCAGAGGTAATGCTTCACCCTTCTTCTACTGACAAAAAGGTACTTTCTGCACTGCCCTGCAGGGGCTAAAGTGGTAGGCAGATAAATCAGGTCCTGTGTAAATTCGCCACCGATTTCCAGGCTCTCTGTAGCTTTAAGTACCACACGGTGGGCTGGTCCTTCCTAGATTCCCCCCACCCCTTTCTTCTCATGCCTTGAATAGGCATAACTCAACCTGATTCAACATAACTCTGACTGTATTTCTGATCTACTTAGTCTTGATTACTAGAGGAAAACCACCATCTTAATGTGCAAAAAGACCACTTAATTATTTGTCCTTAGTTAGCTCAAAGGTGTAGGGACCGTGTTGTCAATAGGTTAGGTCCTTAGAGATTTTTCCTGCTTGTGAAGGGAGCAGAACACCTGTCAGTGCATACATGCATGCCCGCGTGTATGTGGTTAACCCAGCCACCGCCTCGTATGAATTTTATTTATTATTTATTTATTTTAAGTGGGCTCCACGCCTGACATGGGGCTCGAATTCATGACTCTGAGACCAAGAGTTGCACACTTGGCCGACTGAGCCAGCCAGGTGCCTGCCCCTCATATTTATTTAAAATTTTTTCCCCAGCTTTTTATTTTGGAAATCTTCAAATCTAAAAATGTTGCAAGGAAAGTGTAATTTACACCCATGTAGCTTTCACCTGGATTCACTGAATGTTGACAGGTGGGTCTGTGTGTGTATACGCAGTCAACTGCCTTTTTTAACCGTTTGAGTTTGGTCAGTATCCTGACACGTCACCCCTAAATATTACAGCATATATCTTTTAAGAAAAAGGACATCTTCCTATATGAACACAATATGATGATCACACTTAAGAAATTTAACGTTGATATAATCTTATTTAATATGCACTCTATAGTCAAGTATCCAATAATGTCCTATATAGCTTAACTTTTCTTTTTTTAAATGTTTATTTATTTTTGAGGGAGAGGAGTGGGGGAGGGGCAGAGAGAGAGAGACACAGAGGATCAGAAGCAGGCTCCACGCTGACAGCAGCAAGCCCGATGCGGGATTTGAACTCACGAACCATGAGGTCGTGCCCCAAGCCCGAGTCAGATGTGTAACCGACTGAGCCACCCAGCCACCCCTTAACTTTTTTTCAATCCAGTTTCCGATCCATGATCACACGTCGCATTTAGTTCTAATGTCCCTTCTTTCTTCTTTCCTCTGTCACTATTCCTAAGTCTTGTTTTCCCTCTCTCTCTTTCTCGTGACGTGGACATTTCTGAGTTTGGGCCAGTTGTAGACTTCCCCTCACTGACTAGATTCAGTAAAACATTTTTGGCATGGACGTGACAAAGGGGCTGTGTCCTTCTCAGAGCGCCATGTCAAGATGTCCATGAGGTCACTTTGTCCCCTTGTTGTGATGTTAAGTTTGAACACCTAGTTAGGATCTCAGCCCCATTTTTTTGAAATGGAAACTTACCTGGATCCCCCTGATGACTCTCTGTGGAGATCCACTTCTGGAAGGTGTCTGAACCATAAGGTAATAAGACAGTGGCGTATCTAATCTTAGTGTATTTTGCCTCTGGTTATTCTTTTTACACTTGTGATTTTGTTCTAACAACTCTATTGGATCGATACAATGAGTAATTAAGCCCTCCTTTCATGAACACTGGATAGAATCCTTGCTCCCGTTCCAGCCAACACCGGCTGCGTCCGCGTCTTCCTCGAGAAAATACAACCCGCCTTTTTCACCAAGCAGGGGAGCGTCTCGGACAAGACACGGTCAGGTCACTAGAGCAGCTGGAAGCTGGGAAGTGAATTCCAGGTTGATGCATAGGCATCTGCACTCACTGTTCTTTGCCAGACCCTTCTGCTCTGTGATCTCTGGCCAAGGCAGTGCTCTAGGACTGGGGGCACTCCCTGGGCCCTGGCTGTTTCAGGTCTGGGGCCAGCCCACTGAGTGTTTATTTCCGGCGAAACCCTGGAGAGCGCAGGTGCAGGGAGTGGGACGCAGCCCTGTTCCTCTGCCCCCACCCCATCCTCACCCCCACGCCCACCCCCACCCCCACCCCCACCCCCACCCCGGCGGCCGCAGCCAGCTTTGCAGGGAGCACTATGACTTCTGCTCCCTCCTGGGAGCCCTTCCTCAGTGTTCCTCAGCCTGTGAGCTAGGACTTACCACTTCAGTTACTTTGAATAGAAAAAAACCAAACAAACAAGAAAAAGGTGGAGATTTGGGGTCTGGGAGGGAGGGCACCCTTGTGCATAAAGCCTTGGGTGGTGGCCCCAGTGATATTTCTTGAGTTCAGCCCTTTCCTGCAACACAAGAACATGGGTTAACGTGTTTATTTTTTCACCTCCTCTAAATCCCCTTCACATTTGCTGACATACACTCCCTTGCTTTCTGGGCTCTAGACGTGAGGAACTTTTTCTCCGTCCCACACTGGATGTCTGTGGGATCCCCCTGCATGACAAGGTTTGCTTCCATTCACCCTGCCTAGCATCCAGAGCAGGAAGGTCACCAGCTGAGGCCAAGGGTGCTGTTTGTTGCTGCGGCTGATAGTCTGGGGCCTTCCTTTCGGACCAGGGGTACCAGCATCTCTGGCTTCTGACTTAGCAACCGGTTACACCCTCATCTCTTACTGTCTCTGTTTCTGCCACCCCCGTCCCTCCACTTTAAACAGTTTCTGATTGACTCTTGTTTTGTATGTTAGAGCACATTTAGCCCAAGAACCTGGAAAATGTTTCACCAACATTGTTGGCTTCGTTGTCTTTTTTTTTTTTTTTCAAGATTTTTTTTTTTAATGTTTATTTATTTTTGAGAGAAAGACAGCACAAACAGGGGAGGGGCAGAGAGAGGGGGAAACACAAAATCCAAAGCAGGCTCCAGGCTCCAAGTTGTCAGCACAGGAGCCCGATGCGGGGCTCGAACCCACAAACTGTGAGATCATGACCTGAGCAGAAGTCGGACACTTAACCAACTGAGCCACCCAGGCACCCCTAAGATTTTATTTCAAAATAATCTCTACACCCAATGTGGGGCTTGAACTCATGACCCGGAGATCAAGAGTCACATGCTCTACCGAGGGGCGCCTGGATAGCTCAGTCGGTTAAGTGTCCAACTTCTGCTCAGGTCATTATCTTGCGGTTCGTGGGTTCGAGCCCCGCGTCGGGCTCTGTGCTGACAAGTCGGAGCCTGGAGCCTGCTTCGGATTCTGTGTCTCTCTCTCTTTCTGTCCCTCTTCCACTCACACCCTGTCTCTCTCTCTTTCAAAAATAAACAAATATTAAAAAACACTTTTTAAATCTTTAAAAAAAGTCACATGCTCTACCAATTGAGCCAGTCAGGCGCCCTGTTTGCCTTTTTTTGCTGTGTTATGTTGTGTTTTTGAGGTAATGTAAATAACCTCTTGATATGTATGACAGGATCCCCCTGAGTGATTCTGGGCAAATTTCCTTGTGTGGGAAAGGGATGTCTGATAAAATGCTCTTCTGGATTCCTTGCTGCGACTGCTACGAGAGTGTATGATCTAAAAATTTAAGCCAGTTCTTTCAGACTGAATTTTTGCTGGAGGCTAGAGAAACACTTTATTCCTTACGATTCTAGAAACAGCACTTTCACACAGATCGAGGTGGCCAGGCTATCTTTTTTGAAAGAGTGATGTGTTTTTCTTCCTTCTTTTTGTCACCAGTATTTTGGTTTCGTGCTATACCGAACAACGCTTCCTCAAGACTGCAGCAACCCCACACCCCTGTCATCACCCCTCAATGGAGTCCGTGACCGCGCCTATGTCGCCGTGGACGGGGTAAGAATTGTCTCTGAGCTGTGTGTGTCTGCCCCAACAGGGGGGTGTGTGGTCTGTGCTTGAAAATGGGGCATTCAAGGCCATTGCGCACCTTTCTACACTCCGGCTCTGCCCCTCCTCTCGATGTCCCTTAGCTGTGGCCCTTGCTTGCTGATGTGGCCTCACCCATGGCTCCCTCTGCCTGCACCTGGAAGGGTGTGCTCAAGCCAGCCCCCTTCGTGGAAACCTTCCTGGTCTCCCCAGCCCAGGCCGTCCTCTCTGACCAACCACAGGATGTCACCCATGTCTCCTTTGCTCCTGGAGGACAGGCCCCATTTTGAACACGCGGGAGCCGCGATTCTTTTAACTCTGTGCCTTCATCCTGCATGAGAAATTCTATGCAGAAGGATTGTTCATGGTAATCATAGCCACAATACACAAAGAACTTAGAGGATTTCCATTCCTTCCACTGGAATAATCATGTGAAAAAGCACATGAAGAGATTTTTCTCACCGTGGAAATTTGTTCAGAAATTTTTAAATTGAAATGTTTCCATTCTGCTGTGATCAAAGGCTTTCATTTCAGCGGGAGCACGTTTCTAGGACACCATGTGTGTGTTGCCCGTGTATATACTGACAGCCGTTGTGTGTTGAATTCCAGGTTAGGGGTGGGTCGTCTTCGTGAATTCTAGTCAGTATAACTTCAGTTGTTTGTTCTCGTTCTATTATATAATTTTCGTGGTTAATGCATCCTATCAGGTATTTTGAGGTGAGTCGACTCCACCTAACTCTCTGATTTTTATCTCATTTGTCTGATTTTTTGTCTCATCTCTCCACGTTGTTTAGAAGCCACTTTTTATGACTGCCTTTTGTGCTGTGAGAACACGGAGGGGCTCCCGTAGTGGGAATCCCCCCCTGGAGCTGTCGGGTCCATTCCCTTTCTATTAAAAGTAGACGTGCAGTAGGGACGCCTGGGTGGCTCGGTCGGTTGAGCATCCGACTTCGGCTCAGGTTGTGACCTCGCAGTTTGTGGGTTCGAGCCCCGCCTCGGGCTCTGTGCTGACCACTTGCTCGGAGCCTGGAGTCTGCTTCGGATTCTGTGTCTCCTTCTCTCTCTGCCCCTCCCCCGCTCATGCTTTGTCTCACTCTGTTTCTCAAAAATAAATAAAGGTAATAAAAAAAAGTAAAAGAAAAAAGACATGCAGCAAACATCCCAGAGCAAAGGAAGCCAGCCTAGACCTTCCCTTGCTCTGAGCTGTGCCTGGTGGGTTGCCTGTTTTGGAAGCAGTGTTTGGAGGAACTTGGCCACCTGGCCGGTGGCTTGGGCAAAGGGGCCGGCAGAGCACTGTCTCCCGAGTCTGGTGACACCTCAAGGCAGGAAAATGAGTGTGACGGCTGAGCCAGCCGAGCTCTGTTGCCCTTCTCACCTCAGTTAATTCCCACTGGACTCCGACCCCACAGGTGCCCCAGGGAGTCCTGGAGCGAAGTTACGTGATCACTCTGAACATAACAGGGCAAGCCGGAGCCACTCTGGACCTTCTGGTGGAGAACATGGGGCGTGTGAACTATGGCAGATACATCAATGATTTCAAGGTAGGACCAGCCTCGCTGTCGAGGTCGATAGGACTGTGTCTGTGCCGCCCGAGGAAGTCTTTGTAAAGCCATTTAAAAACTCTCGCACATACATTCTTCTCCTCCAGCCCTGTTCACGTAGAAGCGGTTTTTAAAAACACACATGCTTTGCCAAGTTTGGTGATTGAACCTGCCGTGATTTGTTTTGCAACTTCAAAGCTCGAGTATTTTGAGGACCTGCCCTCCTCTGCAGGATGAGAAAGTTGAGCTTTGCAAAGAGAACCCTTCCCTCGTGTTCGGGTTCGGTCATCCTGTAGAAAGAAGGAGGAAGCCTCTCCACCGAGCTTTTCCTTTGCTTAAAAAAGCCCACCTAGCTCTCGAAAGGGGCTTCGTGGCCAACCAAGCCAGCTTAGCCTTTGGTCGGCCCCGTTTGCTGGGTGTGGACCGTCTGTGACGAAGCCTTGAGGTGTAGGAAGCCTTTTCCCTTGGTGCGTGGCCTCTCACCCCTGCTGGTTCCTCTGTGTCCGGGTGGCTAGCCCCGGCCCAAACGTTTTTCCTTGGAAAACATTTTCAGAGCATGATTCGGCAAACGTTTGTTAGGCCCATGCTCTGCACGAGGCTCCGCGAGCTGCAAGGGATGTTGAGATACAGGCTTCCCCGCAGATAGTTCCTCATCTGCTAGAGGACAGCAGGCCCCCATGGAAAGATTTATGGCATCACTCGGCCTAGGCCAGAACAGGTGTGTGGGACTGTTTCCTGACCCCGTTGATGCGGCTCAGAGGCAGGGCAATTACACTTCTAGGGAATGACCAGGCAGGGGCCACCTTTGTCTCCAGTAGAGATGTCCCGGTTAAAGTCCTTGTGCTCAGGCTGTGGCTAGTGGCCTTCCTGCTTGGCTGTCACCGGCCACGTTGGCCCCTGCAGTGACAGGCATTCTTGTGTAGTCTCTGGCCGTAGAGCCCAGCAAAGAGCCTGGCACATGGCTGCCTGGCCAATGTTTATTGGATTTACTAAGTGGGCAGTGGAGGCTGGGTATCGAGAGGTGGCCTGGGAGAAATTTGGGACCTGACTGGGAATGGAGAGAAGTTCGCCACATAAAAGGCAGGGAAGAGGAAGCTAGGCAAGCCGTGAGCATAGGCCTCGATGGGGCCAGGGACGCCCCAGCCCGCTAACCCGCTAGACAAATAGAGTAACTCCAGCATGCAGGTCTGAGGGTCACCATTATCATCACTTTGTGTGTAGCCTTTCCCAGATATCAAAGTATTCTCGTTTACGCCGCCTCACTGAGTTCCCCAGCCGGTGAACGGACTCGGTGCGATCATCCCCGAGTGCTGCTGAGGGGCTCAATGCCAAGACTTGCTCCTGGTTATATGAAGGGGCGGGGTCTGCCCCCCTCCCCCACTACACCTTCTGCATTCCTGACTCCACGCATTCTCCCATTCCATAGATTCCATCATCCCTTCCATTCAGCGATGACTTTGAACCAAGCACTCAACATGGCGGGCACGGGGTCGAAAGCTCTGGCCTCAAGCAAGATGCCACTTTGGTGTGCACCTCACTTGAGTCTCATTTGCTGTTGGTGTTTCATATCCCAGTTTGCTTTCCCTAAGAATTCAGGGTAGGGACACAGAGACACTTGTTTATGTCCAGCTCATTACTGTTTCTCCTTTACAGGGTCTTATTTCTAACCTGACCCTCGGTTCCAATGTCCTCACGGACTGGATGATCTTCCCGCTGGACACCGAGGATGCAGTGCGCAGCCATCTGGGAGGCTGGCATGGCCGTAACCATGGCCGTCAGGATAATAAAGCCTTTGCCCACCACTCGTCCAACTACACACTCCCGGCCTTTTATGCAGGGAACTTCTCTATTCCCAGCGGGATCCCAGACTTGCCCCAGGACACCTTTATCCAGTTTTCTGGATGGACCAAGGTACGTGTCTTCATGGAAAGTATTTTAGTTCGAGCCTCAAAGATCTGCTTTTTGGCTTCTGACAAAGAACCAAAAAGAGCTGCTGATGAGACGCTGTGTGACAGTTTGGGAGCAGAGAGCTTTCTGTGTTCGTTTACCCAGTCCTCCGTAGTGGCACCTTGGCAGACCTTCGGGGACTCGATGGCCAGCCGGAATGCGTACCGTGTGCCCCATTGTCACTGACTGACAACTTCCTTTAGCAAGTGATGGCTTTCTGGCTTCCCCTAAGAAAAACCGTAGCCCTTTAGATACTGATTATGAGGGACACGTTCTGTTTCTCTTGAAGAAAATTTGGCCCAGGCAGGGGGTGGGTCTCTGGGAGAACTTGTTTTCTGTCCATGTCCAATGCCTACTTCTGTACCCCCACAACACTCCACTTTCATACAGCCTTGCACCCTGGGGGCGCCCACCGTTGTCTCTGTGATCTTCACCTCTTCCTTGGCCATTTTCCTGACTGGTCACCCCCCACCTTTATTCTTTGAAGCCATCCACGTGTCTTCCTTCGCCGTTGTCTTCTTCATTTCAGTCCCATTTTCACCCTGGATGACCTTACCATGACTCAGTTATGCATTCAACAAGTATTTTTCAGTGGCTACTATGTGCCCAAGCTTCGTGCCGGGCACTAAGCGTGCAACAATGAACAAAACCAACTGTGGGACTTGCCCTCATGGAACTTACACTCTAACTGGGGAGACAGACCCAAATCATACAGTCACCCAAATGAGATGGCAAGATGGCAGCTGCAGTGGGTGCTAAAAAGAAACATGGGAGTTGGTAATAACTGGAGTGTTTGACCTTGTCAGGGAGGTCAGGGAAGCGTTCCCTGTAGGAGTGATGCGTGACAGAGATATGGAGGATAAGTGGGAATTGCCATGGCAAAAGGGGGAGGGAACCATGTTGCAGGCAAAAGAGATAGCATGTGCAAAGGCCATGTGGTTGGTTAGGGGGGAAATGAGGGGCGCGAGGAACCAGTAAAGGACCCAAATACATGGTTTGGGGGCGGAGTGTGGTTCAGAGAAGAGACTAGAAAGTGGGTAGAGATGAGATCGGAATAGGCCAGTTACGCCCCATTAATGTCTCGTCGTTATGGTGAGAGCCTTTGAAGCAGGAGAGTGCCATGACATGACTGTGATACGACGAGCCTCTCTGACCCCAGGTGGAGTGAGGGTGCCTGTGGATTTGGGGGAAGCTATCTAGGTGGCTGGACCGTAGTCCCGGGGAGAGACAGGGATGGTGTTAGCTAAGATGGAGAGGATATCAACTATCTGAGAGATATGTGAAACTAAATCAATGAGATGTAATGGTGGATTGGAAATACCCTGGATGCCTCTTAGGTTCCAGGCTGGTGGCTGGGCAGATGGCACCATTTATTCAAAGAAAAGATTTCCAGAGAAAACTTAGGCTGGGAGAGGGAGATCATGAGTTTGGATTTGGACAGATTGAGTCGCGGAGGCCTTTGAGAACAGCTGAGCGAAGGTGCAGGCAGAGGACTGTGGGCCCTGTGCGTGAAGTCAGAGGAGGGACCCGGGCTGGGAATATATGCATGAGATCATCTGCGTGTGGATGGCCATTGAAGACGTGGGATGGAGGAGGTCCTCTAAGGAGAAGGGGTGGAGAAGGAAGCAGAGAGGCACAAACATGGCGGGCAGAGAGTGAGGAGGAGAGCTGGCATTTGTGTTGCCGAGGGGACAAGTAAGAGGAAGACAGAAGCTCTTCTTCTACCGGATTGAGCCACGAGGAGCTCAGTGGGACCCCCAGGAAGTATATGCCAGTGGAGCAAAGCCTCCACAGGCTGCATCGCATGCTACTGAGGAGCGTAAGGCAAAGAAACAAACACCTGAACGTAAATTTGGATACTTGAATATAAACATTCTTGCTGAGAGTTTTGACTCTGGAGAAGAAAAGTATGTAAATAGCTGAAAGAGAAGAGGGCAAATGATACACGCGACATTTAAGAAATGCCCTCTTATATTTTTTGCTTTTTAAATGTTTATGGAAATACATCATTCTGTTTAAAATATTTTCTAATTTACCTAATTGTCTCTTCTTGGACTCATAGATTATTTAGAAATGTGTTATTTAATTCCCATGTGTTTTGTTTGTGGGTTTTTTTTTTTAGTATGTCTTATGTTTATGGATTTCTAATTTAATTCCTCTATAAAATTTCTAGAAGATGGAGAAAAGTCTTTATGACCTTGGATTAGGCAAAGACTTTTTAGATTTGACACCTAAAGCGTGATCCTTAAAGGGGGAAACTGATAAATTGGATTTCATCAAAATTAAAAATGTTTGCTCTTCAAAAGATATCATTAAGGAAATGAAAATCCAAGCTACAGACTAGGAGAAAATATTTTCAAATCATGTGTCTAGCAAAGGCATCTAGAACACATCAAGACTTCTTACAACTCAGTAATAAGAAGATACACAACCCAGTCACAAACTGGAAATTTCGCCAAAGGAGCTATACAAATGGTTGATAAGTACATGAAAAGATGCATAATGCTCAACACCATTAATCATGAGAAAAGTACAAATCAGGGGCACCTGGATGGTTCAGTGGGTGAAGCATCTGACTCTTGATATTGGCTCAGGTCACGATCTCACGGTTGTGAGACTGAGCCCCATGTCGGGCCCTATGCTAACAGCGCGGAGCCTTCTTGGGATTCTCTCTCCCTGCCCCTCCCCTGCTCGTGGGGGTACATGTGCACATGTGCTCTCTCTCTCAAAATAATAAACTTAAAAGAAAAAAGTACAAATCAAAATCCAGTGAAAAACTACTTGACACCCACTAGAACGGCTGTAATAATAACGGATGGAGAGTAACAAATGTTGGCAATGATGTGGAGAAATGAGAACCCTCCTACGTCACTTGTGGGAATGTAAAATGATACAAACACTTTGGAACATGGTTTGGAAATTTCTTCAAACGTTAAATGCAGAATTACCATAGGACTGAGGAGTTCCACTTCTAGGTATACGCCCAAGAGAAATGAAAGCCTATGTCTACCCAAAGACTTATATGAAAATATTCAGAGCAGCATAATTCGTAATAAGCCCAAACTGGAAATTCAAGTGTCCATCAACTGGTGAATGGATAAATGAAACGTGGTATATCCATTCAAAGGAATAGTGCTCGACAGTAGAAAAGAACAGACTACTGATACAAGCTACAGTGTGGGTGGATCTGAAAAACATTATGCTAAGTAAAAGAAGCCAGATATAAAAGACCGTCTATTGTAGGAGTCAGTTTAGAAAAGGCACATCTGTAGAGACAAAAAGTAAGTTGCTAGTTGCCTGCAGGGAATGGTGGTGGAAAGGGAGAGTGACTACAAGTAGATCTGGGGTTTCTTTTTGGGGCGATGGAAATGTTCCCAAATTAAATTGTAGTGAGGGTTTCACAGTCTTCTTAAGTTCATTGAGACTTGTTTCATGACCCGGCATATGGTATATCGTGGTGAACACACTCCAGAATTTTAAGCTTTGATATCCTCTCTCTTGCTACATGTTTCTATCCTCCAAACTCTCAAGCCTCCCCAGCCTGCTCTTGGGTCTTCTTGATGACCTGAAACTCTCCACCATTAAGGCCACAGTTCTTCCCTATCCAGCCTAGATATCACCACTATCCTTTTTTTTAAAGCCATCAATCACTGGCCCCCTTGACCTTCCACTCCATCTCCTTGTTCATCCTCCAATTCTGAGTGGGTCCGCCATTGACCTTTGCTCGTTCACCAGTGACTGAGCACTGCTGGGGGTTCTCTCCAGCACGTTCATCAGGGCCCCGGATCCCCACATTCTCTCCAGCCTCCAGAGGCCCCCCGTGGCCCAGCAGTCTTTGGTCTCTCTTCCCCCTTCCCCAGCTGGTCTTTCTAACCTTCACTTCTCCCCTAAGCCACCTTCCTCCTCCCCCACCCACTCACCCTCCTCGTCTGTTATCAGGTGTAACTCCTTTGTTCCCTCAGCTTCCTGTCAGACTTATCTCTCTGCCTCTACCCTCACTTCCTGCCCGGTGGCCCTAGGAGGAAGTCTAAGCTCTGAATCCCCTCCCTACCTTCTTCCTCCAGACCAGGATCCTGTTCTCATACCTCCTCAGACTGCATTTTGTCAGCCTTTCGGTCTCTCTGTCACCTTCCAGGCTGTGGCCAAGAAGTGACACCTGGAGGCTCTAGGACCCAAACACAAAGTAAAACCCTCCCTGGATCTTCCCACTTTAGCCAGTAGGCTTGTTCATCCTCCCTGCTCCCTCCTTTTCTCCCTCCTTCCTTGTCCCCTTCTCCCTCTCAGTGTCCTCATGTGTCACCTATCTACTTTGTTCAGGCTTTTTCAGTCCCTCGCACGGCCCACCCTGCCATCACATATTCATCTGTCAAGACTGGCATTGACCCCTCTGAGAAAGCTGCTTAGACCCTTAGTCCGGGAAAGGACCAGCCCCGCCCTCCTCTGAGCCCCCTTGTGCCCCACCCAGACTCGTCACACTGAGGCTGGCACCTCGGTTTCACCCACAGGGTCACAAGCTTCAGGAGGGGCGTTTTGTAAAAGGTGCTCAGCGTATTCACCATCCTGCCCACCTCCCGGGGCCTGCTTGCTCTGTAAGTGCCCTCAGGTGAAAGGGTACACAGGTGCCCGTGTTGCTGAGCCCCTGGGAAGAGAGCAGACGGGAACAGTGTAGGCCCTCGGGCAGCCATGTTGGCGATGGGGGGCTTGGCGGGGCGCCGTGGGTACTGGGCCGAGGCAGATGAGAAGCACACCATTGCTCACCAGTTTAGTGCTCTAAGAGAAAGAACTTCCGGGAGGTGCTTAGCAGAAAGAGAACGTGTCCATTTACAGGAATGTTCAGAAGGGCTGGGTGGCTCGGGTGGAGGCCGATCCGACAGATGGATGGCACGTCGCCAGAGCCAGAGGGAGTTCTGTCGGGGTGGCGGAGGGGGAGATTTCAAGCGGGAGCGTGGTAGATGCAAAGGCGA